GTACACACATACATGCATGCATACATGCATGCATGCATAAATGCATGCATGCATACATTCATACAGGCATTTACATGTATGCACACATACATACATACATACATACATGCACCCACACATACACACATGCATACATACGTGCGTGCATGCGTAGATACATACAATCATGCATGCAGGCCGACATGCATGCATACATGCATATACGCATGCATACAGACACGTGTACACATATAGCGTATACGCCTTCACAAATACATATACGCACACTCGTGTACATGTACATACATATATACATACATATATGTGAATACATATACATACACATCTATCTCACATTTGCAATATTCGCATGGATGAAAAGGGGGGTCATTTTCAACGTGGCCCCTTCGCCCACATGCCGCACGCATTCTTGTCAAAGGCGCGCACTAGCTTCACGAATGGAGGGCGGTTCCTTTCCAACATGGAGTTGTTGCCTGTGCGCCGCGCGCGCTCGATTTCTAGTGCTACGTTTCTTGGGATGGGGTCTGCTCTTTCTTTACGGGCGCAGTCCGTAATTTGATTTTCGTGGAATAGACTGACTGACCGAATGGGTGAAATGACAAACGAAACACCAAAAACGTTTGGCAATAGTTTTACCTCCGGGGGTAAGGATATTTCGGTGGCAGTTTGTCCAGGGAGTGAAAATATTTAGCTGGCAATTCGGTACCAGGGACGGTGAGGATATTTCGCTGGCAGTTTTGGGTTGGGGGTTGAGGATATTCCGTGGGCAGTTTTAAGGCCAGGGGGTGAACAGATTGAGCTGGCAATTTCAAACCAGGGGCGGCGAATATAGTTAGCTGGCAGTTCCAAGCGAGGGGTACGAGGGAATTTCGCTGGCAGTTTTAAGTCAGGGTGGCGAGGATATTTCGCTGTCAGTTTTAACCAAGGGGGTGCGGATATGCCGGTGGCAGTTTCACGCGAAGACGCGAGGATATTTCGCTGGCACTTTTAAACAGGGGGTTGCGGATATTTCGTTGGCATTTCAAGCCAAGGGGTGGAGGATACCTAGCCGCAAGTTTTAAGCGAGGAGCGTTAGGACATTCCGTTGACACTTTGAGGTCGGGGGTCGACGACATTTCGCTGGCAGTTCTAGGCCAGGGGCTGGGGATATTTCGTCGGCACTTTTAAGCGAGGCGCGCGCATATATTTCGCCGGCAGTTTTGAGTCGGGGAGATGGAAAATATTTCGCCAGCGGTTTCAAGCGGGGGCGCGAGGATATTTCGCTGGTAGCTTCGAGCCGGGGGTGCGAGGATATTCGGCTGGCAGTTTTAAACCGAAGGGGGGGAAAACAAATGGCGAAAAGGGGGGGGGTCGGAGGTAGGGCCTGAGAAGAGTCGCGGTCGGCGCAGGCACCCACGCGCCACGCGACGCAGCGCTGGGCCACGCCTTGCCTGGCCCAGCCGAAAGCAACGCATGCAGCGTGATGCTGCGCCCGTGTGTATACATATATATATATATGTATATCATATCATATATATATATGTATATATATATACACATACATCTATATATATAGACTAGAACCATCGCGGGCGCTTCGCGCGCGCTCAGGTTCTAGTTGAGGTCGCCGCTCAGGTGCGATGCCCGCGACGACTCTTACCCCGAAGACGGCGGCGTGCACTGCAAGCCACGTGTTCCGGAAGCGCACTTCTGGAACATGGGAACGGAGATCCCCGATCCTCATCGTCCTGCTGTGCTGCTTTCTCCGTTATTATTCCTCCCTCTTCCTTTTCTGCTCCTCCTCTGGGCGCTCCGCGCGGCGCTGTAGTGCGCGCCGTCTGGGACCTTGGAGATAGGGCTGAAGTCGTCGGCGCCGCCGCCGTCGTCATCGTCGTCGACCTCGTCGTCGCCGTCGTCTTCGTCGTCGTCGGCTTTCTCGTCGTCGCCGGCGTCCTCGTCGTCCTTTCGTTTGCCTCGTCGGCTTCGACGCCGTTTTCGTACTTGGCTTTGACGTTCTGGTGGGCTTCTTGGAGACAGTTTTGAAGCATCCTGGGAGCTGTTTTGGGGCTTATTCGAAGCCTGTTGGGGGCCTCTTGGGGGTTTCTTGGGGCATCCTGGGGGTCTCTTGGTGCCTTTGGTGCCTCTGGGGGTGGCCTGTCGGGATTTCCTGGCGCCCTCTTGAGGCGGAAGGCTCAGATTTCTGTTCGTGGTTCCTCCCTGAACCCGCCTTGGGGCCGTCCGAGGGCGTGCTTGGGCCGTCTTGAGCGCCTCTTGGGCTGCCTCGGGGCCTCTGGGGTCGTGTTGGGGCCGAAGACGGCGACCACGACGACTTCGACGACGACGCCGCCGACCATGCCGCTCATGTTCGCACGCCATGTTCCGGAGGAGCGTTCCCGGAGCATGGGGCGCCAGAGGCTCCCCCGGTCTTCCCTCCTCCCGGACTATCCTGCCGAGGAACTCTTGGGTTGCGTAGGGCCGGTCTTGCGGGCTGCCCGGGGCTCTCTGGGCCCGCCTAGGGCTGTTTGGGAGCGGACCTGGGGGCGCGCTGGGCCCTATTGGAGCGTCGGAAAGCCGAAAAGAGAAGAAGGCCAAGATCCTCCAATTCCTACGTAAAATGAACGATTTTGGCCTGTTGGGACCTTCTTGGGGGTGCTTCTGGAAGCGTCTTGAGCCATGCTTGAAACCTCTTGGGAGCTACCTGGGGCCTCCTGGGGCTCTCTTGAGGCGGAAGCCCTAGGTTTTCCGGACGCGGTCCGTCTCCTGGACACCTCTCGGGCTTGTTTTGGGGCACTCGTGAGCTGCCCTGGGCGCTTCTTGGGCCAGCCTTGGGCTCTCCGGGACCGCCTCGGGGCGGCCTTGGGCGCTTCTGGAGCTGTTTTGGGGCGGTCTCGGAGGCCTCCTGGGCCGCCTAGGAGCGTCGGACAGCCGCAAAGATCAGAAGGCCAAAACCCTTCCAAAACTATTGTAAAACCATAAATTGTTGGCCTGCTGAGGCCCTCGTGGGAGTGCTCTTGGAAGCGTTCGGAGCCATGTTGGAGGACTCTTGGGGGCTGCCCAGGGCCTCCAGGGTCACTGTTGAGGCGGGAGCCCTGGGTGTTCGGTACGCGGTCCCTCTCTTAGGCCCTTCTTGGGCTTGTTTAGGAGCCTTCTTGGGCTGTCGTGGGCGCTTCTTGGGCCAGCCTTGGGCTCTCCGGGGCCGCCTTGGGCTTGTCTTGGGGGCCTCTGGGACTGCTTGGGGGCGGACCTGGAGACCTCCTGGGCCGTCTTGGAGCGTCGTACAACCGAAAAAAACAGAAGGCCAAAATCCTTCCAAAACCCTCAAGAAACCATCAATGTTGGCCTCCCGGGGCTCTCTTGGGAGTGCTCCTGGAAGCGTCTGGAGCCATGTTGGAGGCCTCCCGAAACCTCTACCACGTGCTTCGGCGACATGGGTCGAAGATGGGAACCATTCCTGGTGCTGAAACATCACCAGGGTCCGTCCAGAGCTGCTCGGGGAGACGCCCCGGAGCGGCTCTGGAGAGGCCCGCGGGGGGGGGATCCTCCCATGGCGACTCGAGGCAGCTGGCCAGAGGCCCCTGGCCTCGTACCCCGACGTAGATAGATAGATAGATAGATAGATAGATAGATAGATAGATAGATAGATAGATAGATAGATAGATAGATAGATAGATAGATAGATAGATGTATAGATAGATAGATAGATATATAGATAGATAGATATATAGATAGATAGATAGATAGATAGATAGATAGATAGATACACAGACAGATAGATAGATAGATAGATAGATACATATATATATATATATATATATATATATATTATATATATATATATATATATGCTCGCTCCTTGGCGTGGGGCTGGCGGGGGGCCAATGGGCGAGCCGTCCAGTGCTTGCAATATGAAGCTCTCACCGGAGACTTCGCTGAGTTGAAGGACCCGAAACTTCAACGCACGCAGCACTACACGGATACATGGCGGCCTTTTTGCAACATGAAACTGTCGCTGCGACTTCCTCGGCGTGCATGACCACAAGGGTCGCCTTGAGCACCAGTTACACGGATGGGGGGGCGGTCCTCCTTCGAATGGATGGACATCGCTGGAAACCTCGAGGAAATAGATTAACACTGTTTTCCTCGCGTTCCTGACTACGCACCAGACAGATGCAAGACAGTTCCTGTTCAAAGTGGGTTCCTCACCGAAATGGCAGGCCCAACTGTCTTGGTCTTTCAAGGAGGGCGTTCCTTGCAGTAACGAAGAAAATTCGTAGGGACGTATGAGAGGTGAAATTGGGACGGGAAGGTGTACTGCACCATCGCGCTTGCACCTTCGGCTGACTCTGGTCCTCACCCTCCTCCTCCTCCTCCTCCTCCTCCTCCTCCTCCTCCTCCTCCTCCTCATCATCATCATCATCATCATCATCATCATCATCATCATCATCATCATCATCATCATCATCATCATCATCATCCTCTTCATCATCACCATCACCATCACCATCACCATCACCATCACCGTCACCATCACCATCATCAGCATCATCATCAGCAGCATGATCATCATCATCGTCATCACCATCATCACCATCATCATCATCATCGTCCTCCTCGGCCTCTTCATCATCATCATCAGCATCATCACCGCCATCATCATCATCATCATCATCATCAGCATCAGCATCATCATCATCATCATCATCATCATCATCATCATCATCACCATCATCATCATCATCATCCTTCACTTCCCCCTCCTCCTCCCCCTCCTCCCCCTCCTTCTTCACCTGCCTCTTCCCCACTCCCTTCCCTGCGCATGCCGAGTTCCGCGCGCGCGGCGACGCGTGGAAGGGGGAGGCCGGAGGGAGAATGGGACAGGACAGGGCCGATGATTGTGCTGCTCCCATCGTACTGAGGGACCACATTCCAGAACAAATTTCGACCACCCAGAAAGGTATCGAAACAGTGTCGAATGAGTGTCGCCTCCAAGGGCCCGACACGTGACAAACCATCCAGTTTGGGTATTTTCTTGGTGCTCGAAATTCTCTCTGGTGATCAAGGCTGTGACGTCAGACGATGTCAGGCTGCGGCAACGGCTCCCGGCACATCTTGAGCGAGCCCATGGAGACAAACTCCCGAACCGCCGCGTTCCAAGGGGGAAGCTCGCCGACGCGGCGCCGGCCCCCAGCCTGGCCCCCCTGCTTCTGCAAACGCGCCGCAGCTGCTCCTTCGCGGTGCTGTCGCCACTTGCGCACCCCGAGGGCGCCAGAATGCAGAACAGCACTCCGCCGCAGCGCCTGCGCCGCCGACGACATGCGCCCAGCCAGCCCTCTTCCACAAGGCCAGCGCCAGCGCGACCGTGCGATCGGCCAGCTCCTCACACCCAAAGATGATGACGAGGCCGCCGAGGACCGAGTCGAAATGCCCTCGCCCGAGCTCGTGGGAGAGCCTGGCGATGATTGGGTCTGCAGACTGCTTGGCCCACAGCTTCCCCGCCGCACGATCAACTGCCATGCGGCGCCATGGATGTGCAACTCCACACCCTCCCGTCACCTCGGCCTCAAGCTTCACGATCACAAGCGAGATCTGCTGCTCCGGGCCTGGGGGGGGGGCCTAATGCCAACCTGGCTTACGCAACGGGGGTGTCGCTCGCTGTTGGGCGGCCTTGAGACAGGATCTCTTGAGCGATCATGGCTGCGGCTGATGACAGAAGGAAGAGCAGGAAGACGAAGGGAGGGGGGATGACCAAGGAGGAGAGAGGAAGACGGAGGAGATAGGAGAGAGGAGAGAGGAGAGCGGCGAGAGTAGGATAAGGAGAAGGACGACGACGACGACGAGGACTGACGGTGAGGAGGGCGAGGAGGAGAGCGAGGCGAGCGGAAATGTGATCCTCCGCCTGGGGTACCAAAGTCCGAAACTCCCTTGATGGGGACGGCCCAGCTTCTTTTCCGAAGAGGTCCTCCTCGACCTCAAGCTTGGTCAGCAGTAGATCCGTCACCACGACCAGTAGCTCATCCTGGGGGCAGCCCTACAAAATGCCCCCTAGGGCCGTCCGCGACGGTCTGATGCGCAAGTCTTCCCACCTCTCCCGCAGTCCTCAGCAGGAAGAAGCGAGAGAGAGAGCAGCAGGAGCAGGAGCAAACGCAGAAGGCCCGTCGGATTCGCCCAGTCGGCTTCTCCAGCGGTCGGCTTCGCCCGGTCGGTTTTGCCCGCTGTAATATTCAGTGCCCCGCCCGCCCGACCGACCCGCCAGTCGGTCCCTCCGCCCGACCATGCCCTTTCTATTAGGGCCCGCCCGCCTGATCCGCCTGCGAGGGTCCGCCAGCCCGCTTGCCAGCAAGCCCGTCCGCCCGCTTTGATAATATCGGGTCGGGCGAAAGGGGGGGATAGCAAAAGGAGGGCTTGAGAATCAGCAAAGGGAGGGTTTGAAAATCAGCTCACGTAGCTGATTTTCCCGGCGACTCCCGGCGCCAGAGGCGGCTATGTATCGAGGAATGGGCCCCTCGGCGAGGCCGAAACCAGCTGCATGCAGCAACTTTCGTGACCCCTCCTTTCCCAACCCCCAAAAATTTCGTCCGGCCCGATCATACGGCCGTTGGGGTCCGGCTCGCCTGTTGGGCTCCGCCCGACCTGCACGCTGGGGCCCACCCGCCCGGTCCACCCGGGGGGGCCCTCCCGCCCGGGCCGCCCGTCTGGGTCTGCGCCGGCGAGGCCGACCCCGGCGAAACCGACCCGTTTTGTCCCACAATCGCCCGCGTCCTTCTCCTCCATCCCTTTGCCTTATACTAGAGGAAAGAGAGCTATGCACATACACCGATTCTGGCCTGGCCCATCCTGAGCCCAGGATCGGTGCACACGCCCTCTTACCTTGGCCGGGAAGGTATATGCACCGATCCTGGGTCAAGGATGGACGTTGTCAGGATCGGTGCAAGTGCATAGTTCTCTTCGCCCGATATACATAACTCCTCCCCGTCGCACCCCGGAGCCGGTCGAAAGGACAGGCCAGGCGTTTCGCCTGGGACGCCCGCACCACTTATGACCCTGGTGCGTAAAAACTGATTGTCCCGGCAAAGCAAACTAACAGCGATGTGTAGAAGCATAGCTGGAAGCATTGCCTTTGATAGTTATGTAGGAGTCCTCTTGTAGAATTCTGGTGTTCTGGCAGTCGCATTCGCATTCGCAATGGCAGTCGCAGCGGCAACGTCAGTCGCAGTCGCAGTCGCAGTCGCAGTGGCACTGCCAATAGTTGCAGTAGCCATTTCCAAACCAGCAGCAGCAATAGCAGCAGCAGCAGTAAGAGTAACAGTAATAGTAGTAGTACAAGTAGTAGTGGTGGTAGTAGTAGTAGGAGTGAAGTGGTAGTTGTAGCGGTTGTAGTGAACGAGTAGTAGTAATGGGAGCAATAGGGGTAGCAGTAAAAACACGAATAGCAAGAGTAGTACAAACGAGACACTGCTATCAACTAGCCCATCTCCGAACGAGACACTGCTATCAATGGTTTTAGCTTCAAACGACTCACAGCTTTCGAAAGCTGTATCTCCAAACAAGACAGTGCCATCAATGGATTGCGCCCCAAACGACGCACTGCGATCAATGGATTTATCTCCGAAAGAGACACTTCTATGACTGCATGTAGATTCTAAGCACTCACTGCTTTCGAGAACTGCATATCCAAACGAGACCCTGCTCTCAATAGATTTAGCTCCAAACGAGACACTGCTATCAACGGATGTACTTCGAACGACTCGCTGCTTTCGATAACTGTATCTCCAAATGAAACCTCTGTATAAATGCATTGAGGTCTAAACGAGACACTGCTATCAATGGATGCAGGTCCAAACGAGACACTGCTATCAACGGATGTATCTCCGAAAGAGACACTTCTATGAATGCATGTAGATTCTAAGCACTCACTGCTTTCGAAAACAATATCTCCAAACGAGACCCTGCTCTAAACAGATTTAGCTCCAAACGAGACACTGCTATCAACGGATGTATCTCCGAAAGAGACCCTTCTATGAATGCATGTAGTTTCCAAGCACTCACTGCTTTCGAAAACTGCATCTCCAAACGAGACCCTGCTCTCAATAGATTTTTAGCTCCGAACGAGACAATGCGATCAACGGATGCACTTCGAACGACTCACTGCTCTCGATAACTGTATCTCCAAATCAGACCTTTGTATAAATGCATTGAGGTCTAAACGAGACGCTGCTATCAATGGATGCAGGTCCAAACGAGACACTGCCATCAACGGATGCATCTCCGAAAGAGACACTTCTATGAATGCAGGTAGATTCGAAGCACTCACTGCTTTCGAAAACTGCATCTCCAAACGAGACCCTGCTCTAAGTAGATTCAGCTCCAAACGAGACACTGCTATCAACGGCTGTACTTCGAACGACTCACTGCTTTCGATAACTGCATCTCATACGACACACGTGCATCAATGACTGTAGCTCCAAAACAGCCTCGTTGAGCCTGGCATCGCTGTCCGCATGCTGAGAGCATGAGGTTGGGAACCCTTCCATTGGGTTTGCAGCCTCGCCGCAACACTCGTCTCGCGTATGCCTGCCGCCTTCGTCGGCAACAGGCTGAAGATCACCGCTGCTGTCTGCCACAGTCGGTATCGCCTCGTTCTTTGCGATGCATGCTGCCTGCTCCTGCAGCGCCTCTAGAGTGCCTTGCAGCGCTTGCATCATTCGGACTGGACCGACGCGATGCACAGGATCCACTGCAACTGTGGTCTCAGCCACATTCTCATGCAGGTAGGCCATGTCAGGCTGTTCTCCGGGCTCATCGTCTTTGTCCGCCTCTTCGAGGGTTCAAATATGCGGCCCTGACGGATGCGGTCCTAAGGGCGAGGCAGGGTTTCAGCCTTCAGCCCACCATTAACCGCCTCCCTCGTCCTTAGGACCACCTCCCTCAGAACAACATCTTCGAGCCCCCGACCTCTGGCTCCTCGTCGGACTCCTCTCCCGCCTCGTCGTCTCTGCCGACCTCGGGGGCCCTCGAAGCTGGCCCCAGCAGACGAACCGGAGCTTTGTCGGCTCCGTCCACTGCTTGCAGGCAAGCGTGGACGCGGTCTGGCACGCCGTCCTCCGGCAGCAGCGTCGCGGCGAGGTCCTCGCGCGCTGACGCGTCAGCAAAGGTAGCGCACTGCTGCCTGCGCTCCCCGACGATCTGCATGTACTCAGCGCGGTTGCCGGCTGCCCAGTGCGCCTTGCTGAGATTGTGCGCGGCGCCCGGGGAGACGACGTTGAGAGACTCCACAAGCGAGTCTTGCGCGGGAGGCAGCTCCATGGACGGGATGTCTGCCGCGGGCCGCGCGAAGAGGACGGCGTTCCCCGCGACGCCTTTCTGCTGGACGTCCGGGGCGCCTTTGCCGAGACGGACTTGCTTCCGACAGCGTCGGCCAAGGGGCGCGAGCATCTTAGTAGCCTTCGAAGCGCCGCGCACGTGCGCCGGCCCCCGTCCGATCCAGTTGTTCTTGGCCAGAGCGTTTAGCGGCATCCTCGGCTTCTTGGCGCACAGGTCAGTCTGGCACTCCCAACAGACCCACACCACCGCACTAGCATCTCCCACCCCTGCACAGCGAGGCCTGTCGTCTGCAGGCTGAGGAGCACCGCCAGGCTCGCCGTCTGCTGGTGCTTCCTTCCACAGGGACTCGACGGGAGTGCAGCAGCCACCGCCAGTCCGGGTGCTCCGGATGCTGAACGCTGGACGCGCGCAGCTGTTCGCACGGGATCAAAGGCCGCCGCTGCCTGCACCTGTCCACGTCCAGGAGCTTCTGAACCAGTTCCGGGGACTGCAAGTAGTACACCCCGCGGTGCCTCACCAGTGTCTGCGTGCGTCGGGCGCATGCCTCGCCCTCGGGCACGTCGTCCTCGTCGCCAGCAGGGCCCGCGCAGTGCTCGGAAACACGCCCCTCCGGCACTGCGCCGAAGGGGCTGAGTTTGCGGCGGTGCCCCAGGTAATCTTTCTGCGCGCAGACTACGCAGGCTGCCTCGCATCGAAGCACCGCCTCGCAGCCCGAGAAGCGGTTGCCCTTGCTGCCCGGGTGACAGAATTGCTGGAAGTGAGCAAAACTCTGCACCATGAGCCTCTTCTCCTGGGCGGTCATCGGCCTGCAGCCGGCCTCCGCCATGAGAAACAAGACGCGCTTCCGATGCTCCGCCTCGCCCTCGTGGTTCTGCTGCCTGCGCCGCGCGAAGTCCTCCTCCGCGATGAAGTCGCACTCGCAGAGCTGGTATACGAGGGGCCCCGTCAGGACGGGCCTGTCCGAGAAGACGCGCAGCTGGTCCCCCTCCACCTCGCTGCCGGGAACGTAGCGGCTCTTCCCTGCGGGAGCGGCCGACGCACTGCGCACCCGCCCCGCGTACCGCTGCACGAAGTCCTCGTGCTGCGCAGACTGGCTGGACACCAGTTCCTGGTATCCGGCGAGGCGCCGCAGGAGTACCTCAGTCCGGATGCCGCTCTCCAGCATGAGCAGGTCCTGGTCGATCTTGCTCTGCGCCTCCTCTGCAAACCCTTCCATGGGGTTTGGAAGGGCCTCCGCCTCCGCGATGCGAGCCGCTGCTCTGGCATCGCTGTCCGCATGCTGCAGGGCCTGGAGCTCGGCCTCCTGCTCTGGCGAAAACTGCTGAGCCTTCCGCGCTCTCCGAACTTTCT